TGACAAACGGGCACACAGTCCACCTGATGGTAAGTGGTTTCTGTGGCCCATAGACATCTATCCTCGATCAACGAATAGGAATCAAAATGCAGATGCGTTGTTACCCGTCAGGACTAACATGCAATGCCTTGTTTCCAGTAAAAATTGTCTCCGGTTCTCTACACTCACCATACGAAACACATCAGTATTAAGCTATTATTTTACGTTGATATTCTGTGAGAGCGTAGTCCTTCTCCGGTCGAGACGGCTCCAATCGGGCTACAACTGTATATGTACTCTGTGTACAAGTATAGGTAATAAGTTATTTCCATTTTAAATTTTATATTAGATTTTTATACGTGGTAGAGCCACGCTGCAGCTATATTATAGTTGTAGCATGAATGGGTCGTCTCGACCGGGGAAGGATCACACTCTCACATAATACCAACGTCAAATAGCAGCGTAATACAGCTGTGTTTCGTATTGTGAGTGTAGAGATCCGGAGACCCTCCTTTACTGGAAACTAGGCATTCCATCTTAGTTCTCAGGTTTAACAACGCTAATCAACGATAGATGTCTATGGCCCACGGCATCCACATACCATCAGGTGGACTGTGTGCTCCTTTGTTACCCCCCTCCCCTTAAACTCACCAAAAAAACCCCCCAAAAAAAAAAAAAAAAAAAAAAGAAAAAATTTGAAAACTCCCCCCCCCTTTAATTAAAAAATATTAAAAAAAAAAAAAAAAAAACCCCCCCCAAAAAAAAAAAAAAAAAATTATTCTATATAAAAAAAGACATCTGCACTTAATTTTCATGTGTTTATTCCAAAATTATATTCTACTTTTAGGTAATTTAAACAAGCACGTCATCTTGGCTCGTTTTAAAGGAGACCATCCATATTTTATTACATAAATTGATATTTCACTGCACTTATACATAATATTTGAAGAATAAACAACGACGAAAGTGTCAGAATATCTTTGAAAAGGTCGCGTAGCAACTCGCGAGGCTCCAAGAAATAGATCGTCCTATCGCTTGCTTTTGCAAAACTAATATTGTTTCAACCTGGTTTGTGCCGGGATCAAAGAACACTAATTTAGCTGTTGCTAATTTAGTGCTAAGTAGACTTATTTAACTCTTGTGCTGTTTAATACTTACGTTAACGATTAATTAAGCAAATATTTAACAAACATGCAACATATTATGTCTGACGACGTGGTAAGAAATACAGGAAATCGATGGATGTAGGTTGCTCAGGACCGTAAGTTCATTTCATAGGGGGAAGATTACATACAGCAGTGGACTTGTTAAGGGCTGTGATGATGATATGCACCTTGCACCTTTAACCAGTAGGGTTTGTCATTTCTTTTGAAATGAATGTGAATTACACTTTGAAAAATGTATTATAATTAATTAAAAATAATATCCTCTCCAAAATGATTCATTAATATTAATTTTTTTTAAATATTTTGAAGAAATGTTGAGACATGAATTAAAAATCTAAAAGAATCGCGTGGTTAAGAAAGAGTTTCAACAGCAAATCTATTACAATCTATTATATTTTTTCATTTATATATTTCTATAAATCGGTTACCTTGGACCTTACCTTGGTAGATATTTACGATACACTAGATTTTACACAGTCACCAGACGGCTTTCTCAAACTTAAAGTAATGTAAAAGATTAATTCACCCCGGAGTGGCGGTGTAAAAATATCCAGTACCCAATATCATCCCGTGGGTGTCGTAATAGGTGACAGAGTGAAAAAACCAGGAGATGGGCAGCGGCGTTTTCCTAATAATAAATAAAAATTAAATACTGAGGTTGTTGGCCCACCTGCCAAGCGTGGGAACTTTCTGGTATAAATACTCATTATAAAGCATACTAATGGCGAGGCCTAGGTTCAGCAGTGAATCTTAACAGCTTACTTACTATGCTTTTTCTCATTTATGAGAGGGTTATGGATATGGAGCAATAAGCCTGCCACGCTGCTCCAGGGAGTGCTGGTGGATTTCACAATTCTTTGAAATATTATTAAGTCATAAGACCACCATCGAGCACGTGATTGTGACCGAATAGAAATTGCAATTTAAAATTTAAGTAACGTACCCAGATCGCTCAGGTTCCATAAAATTTATTGCGTTACTACGGATTTATTATCGAAGTTATGCTCCGAGTAATTTTCTTTAATTATTAAGTTAAAATTAACCTGTATATTTAATACTAACTATTGAATATCTACAAACCATGTCAAGGCGGTGTAAAAATATCATAGGTCATAGCGGGTGTCATAGACAAAGGGAAAACAACCAGGAGACCAGCAACAGCACCTTTCTAATAGCATCTAAAAATAAAAAACAGCGGTCGCCAACCTGCCTAGGCAACTATGGCAAATATATGGCTTTCCTATGAGGCAATATATGGGAAAGGTCTATGTTCAGCAGCAGTACTTTTGCTGTAATGATGATGATGATGAATTTTTGAAATTTGCGAGGAGTACCGTACCGTAACCACGATGCGTACGGTACGTGTCGCAAAATTACGAAAAAGGCGCGACCGAATTTTTTGCTCGGGTTTAAGTGGATCCCTTTAGATTTACAATTATCAGACCCAGTAGGTAGCGCTGTTGTCGAGATCAAAGAGAAAAATGTCTTTATGACAAGGGACTTTAATATATTTTAATAAAAATTTTGATATACATTGTCACACATATACATATACACTGTCATCCGATTCTGAGCTATCTTCAAAACTTCAAGTCTAGCTCATCGGGAAGTGTTCGAAATTTGAGTTACAGGATTCGAACCGGAACAACAGACAGACAAACAAGAAAGTGAATATAAACGTAGTAAAAATAATAACCATGTGTTGAAAGCAGTGTGTAGTTAACCGCTTAGCGCTTACATTTACATGTTTAATAGCTATTGTATGCTAAATGTAAGATTATGCAGTCGTACTTAGAACTCCGTTTGACCTGTATCTAAAATTCAACTATAAATACTAATCACTTACCATTACCGAATGGGTCAGCTCGACCGGAGAAGGACCACGCTCTCACAGAATACCAACGCAAAATAGCAGCTTAATACTGCTGTGTTTCGTGTGATGAGTGTGGAGAACCGGAGACTGTTTTTACTGGAAAAGAGGTTTTCCATCTTAGTCCTCACGGGTGACAACGCAACTGCATTTTGATTAGCAAACGCAGATAGATGTAGATGTCTATGGGCCACAGCATTCACTTACCATCAGATGGAATGTGTGCTCGCTTGTCACCCTTATCCTATTAAAAAAAATGCTACCATTATCATTACCATTACAGCCTATATAACCCCCTACTGAGCATAGGTCTCCCTATAGATTCCCTAATTTTGAGTATTAGGAAGATGCAATTACCCATGTTTTCAGTTTCCCTCTGTCACCAATTTACCCACAGTACGATATGCGATAGTTAAGATTCATGCAACGCCGCACCGCAACACGGTCAATTTGATTATGAGTAATTTTTTTTGAAAGTCGTTTATGATTGTGCAACGGTTTGGAAAAACCTCTTTCCTGGGAATAACAAGCACGAAACCCAACTTACGTACAATGTACGTACGTGTACGTACTTTTCCGACCATTACTTGGTCTACACTCAACAGTTTTATATGATAAAATTCTAGTTATCTACGCAATTAACATAACTAATATTCTCTTTGCTTGTGATAAGAGTGGTTCAGCACAGTATTTCATATTAATTATTATATACATGGTAGATCCAAGCTGCGGCCATATTGTGGGTGTAGCACGAATGTGTCGGCTCGACCGGGGTGGAACCATGCTCTCACAGAATACGGTGAATGCAAAGAAACCGACACTCTTTTCACTGGAAACGAGGCATTCAATACCTCAGTATTCAAAGGGGTCAAGTCATCTGCATTTTTATTCATAAGTGAGGATTGATGTCGATCACTATGGGTAACATCATCTACTTACCATTAGGTAGACTCGTATGTCGACGTTTGTGGTAAGAAAAAACAGCAGTTGAATGACGGATTCGAACACACGAGTTCTGAGTCTGTGCTCCGAACAATACAATTAGGCTACATGTTATAAAAATATTTTGGAAGTAGCTTGCTAGCGATGACTTTATTCCCAGAAGGTATTAACCTCAATGTGTTCTTTCTGAGGTAATATTTTCCTTTATTTGAAAACATGTTACCTCCACACTAGGACTTTCTCCTGTGTCGTGGGGGATATGTGTGTGTGCGCACGTGCGCGTGTGCGAGTGCGTGTGCGAGTGCGTGCGTGCGTGTGTGAGTGCGTGCGTGTGCGTGTGCGTGTGCGTGTGCTTGTGTGCGTCTGCGTGTGTGTGTGCGTGAGCGTGTGCGTGTGTGTGTGTCTGTGCGTGTGCGTGTGCGTGTGCGTGCGCGCGCGCGCGTCTGTGTGTGTGTGTCTATCTAGCGTATTTGAGACACCCGGCTTATGTACACTATAATTATTTTGTGCTTCAGTTTCGAATAAAATTTGTTGTACTACAACTTTTTTTGTTTTAATTCTATGTCTAAATATGAAAAATATTTTGTAACTTTGAAATAACATCCGTAATTGCGTATTAAAATATTTGATGTACGTTGTTTATTCTTGCTCGTAAGATGTGACATTATCCAAGGTGATTGCGACGCAGAGGGACGGGTCGTGACGTCAATGAGTAAAAGAAATATTACGCCATCATCCAATTTGAATATAAGAGATTTAACTTACGATACACCTATTATGCCCATAAGTTCTGTTAAAATGCATATATTAAAAATAAAAGTTATGTGTATATATTTTATAAAAGTTAAAGAGATTTTTTTAATGACAACCTACCAAAGTTTTCTATTAAACATAAGCCTCCCCCATATTTTCCATTCTTAACCGGTGAGTTGCAGCTGCAGTGATGTATTGAGTTTGAACCCATCTGCTGCTTCAATTTCCTCTGTCGCCTCTTTCGACACCCATGTGATAATATGGTGGACTTTCGACACCCATGTGATGATATGGTGGACTTTCGACACCCATGTGATGATATGGTGGACTTTCGACACCCATGTGATGATATGGTGCACTTTCAACACCCATGTGATGATATGGTGGACTTTCGAAACCCATGTGATGATATGGTGGACTTTCGACACCCATGTGATGATATGGTGCACTTTCGACACCCATGTGATGATATTGTGGACTTTCGATACCCATGTGATGATATGGTAGACTTTTAACACCCATGTGATCATATGGTGGACTTCACTTTGTGCAAAAGTAATCACTGTATTTTCGTTTTATTTAACGTTACCCACCTTATATTATAATTTAACAACATCTATTAAAAATAAAATGTAATAACATGTAAATAGCAGCAAATCGATAGGTCTTTGCTACTCAGTAAATACATTTCAACTTTCAATTATAAAAAAACAAAAGAAACAAGTTTATTCTTATTATTTTTAAATTTTAACATCATTTATGGTCATACTAGTTCTATATTTTCAACCGTATACCGTAGTAGTAACAGTAGTAAGCATTAGTAGGGCTGCCGCAAGTTCCTTATTTACAACCGTATTGATAATTATATAACATCGTACTTAATTAATACTAAATACACCAAAAAGCCTGCAATTTACTAAAAATAACTTATAAGAATCGTAACTACTCAAATTGAAACAAGTTTTTCTCTCTCTAAGCACATCTTTTTGTTACTTAATAAAATAATAATCACGAAGTCATTGACTTAAAATAAAACTTTCTAATGTATAATTTCCATGTGAAAAAGTAACAGACCGTTTACGTCCTCCCTCATTAATGAAAAAAGTTTTGGGTGGAAGCGAAGAGTCACTACTCTAATGCGGCTACCAAACCACATACACCACCGATTACCGATTTAAAAAAAATCAGTCATGCATAAATGTCCTTATAATGCCTTCCAGACCGATTTTCGACAGCGGGGGCTACTCTTTACCAAGCACAGAGATTAGTTTCCGCTAATTTTCGGACTGTTAAGTGAACTCCACCACTCAGAAAAACCTAATTACTGATTTTGGCCCGACCCGGGATTCTAACCCGGGACCACATTATCAGCAGTCACGCTTACGAACACTAGACATTATTATAAGTGGACGTGTAAGCTCATGTGACAACTTTAATATATATAAATTGCAGGTTAACTCCACCATGTGGTGACCCACCACTTAAAATTACATTACCAATTTTAGTGTTACTTGTGGGAGATCGACTTCGGAGCTCGGATTGCTCTTGTAGGTACTATGAAATTTTCGACGACCTCTTATTCTCTAAGTTGCTGGTTTAATTCAAAAGTAAATAGGTACTTATTTTCGTCATTTTGTTAAGTTCGTATTTAATTAAATTCAAGTACAAATGTTTTACTAGGTTTCAACACTAGCTAAAATTGTTATAACAGCAAAGAGGTTTAAAGTATATAAAGTATACTTTTTTAATTTGTTTTGTTTATTTAGTTTCAAAATTAATTGTCAATCCATTTAACTATTACTTCTAATACTACGTGCTTCTCTAGGACGTAGTACATATATAACTTAATGGTCGATACATTTTCGAGTTTTAGCAAGACGAGATTACGCATCTTATCCAAAAAAATTCTACGTTATCCACCGACAAATACGCAAAGTATATATATATATATATATATATATAATATATATATATATATATATTTGTGTATATGTATACACACTGATTCTGAATCACTCATAACGAGATCACTAGAACTATACACCCGATTGACTTAAAATTTGGTATAGTTACTCATTTCGCAATGCAGACGCTCACTAAGAACGGATTTTACGATAGTCCCATAAAAAATGTTTTTTGATATTCTACATCTAGGTTCCGCAACAAAATATTATCGTGCGCCCAACGAAGCGAGCGGGTATCTGCTAGTTTTTATACATCTATTAGTTAACAAATAGACACACAGTCTCTACCTCATCCATATTTGCACGCACTAACACTGTACCGCCGTTCTTACTACACACCACCAATGTTAAAACGAGAAACGTGTTGCGCCTTAGAATGAGACGTTACCAATCTAGAGCTTGCGATGTCTACTCTGTGCCGGGGTTAATATTTTTTTTATAGAATAAGGGTGACAAACGCACACACATTCTACCTGTTGGTAAGTGGATGCTGTGGCCCATGGACATTTATCCTCGTTTGCGAATTTAAATGCAGATGCGCTGTCACCCCTGAGGACTAAGATGGAATGCTTCGTTTCCAGTAAAAAGGGTCCCCGGATTTCTACACTAGCCATACGAAACACAGCAGTATTAAGCTGCTATTTTACGCTGGTATTCTGTGATAGCGTGGTCCTTCCCAGGTCGAGCCGACCCGTTCGTGCTACAACCATAATATAGCTGCAGCGTGGCTCTACCACGTAAATTACGGTAGTAACACAACTACTACATACTTGTAGTACTACAAGTATGTGTAGTAACACCTTGTAAAAGGCATTTATAATAAAAAATATTATTCATCATTAAATACAGCCCAATAAAATTGTATACTGACGTCACATACGTTGCATTGCATGTAAACAAAGGACCTTAGTAAAACGCAGATGAATTAAGTGGATTAGTTCGAATTTCCGAGGCTTCGTTAATTATATTATTGTGTAAAGGAAGTTTATTGTCTTACGCATAGTTTTAGCCGACAGTAACCGATTTCTAGAATGAAAGAATAGAATCTATGACTGACAAGACCGTTATAATTGTTTCGTAGATTGCTTAAAGCACAAGCTTCTTCAATTTAATAATTTGTACACATTAAATAAGACTAATATTACGTATTTTATAGCATTTGATTTTAATATTCTATTATGTTTTTAAGATCTTTGGGGTGCTTTACAACACCCATAAGAACCGTAGTAGCTCGGATGGTTAGCGCTCGCTGTAAATTTCACATTACGCGAGCCACAGTGAACGCCGACACCTATGAAATAGTTAATTGCATTTACCACGAGTTCGGTGGTGATAAAAAATATCTTGAAGAAACCTGCACGTCTGCGAAATAAGAAAATACGAATAAGAAAAAATATTTCGAAGACATTTGAAGTTCGCCAACACGCATTGGGGCAGTGCAGCGGACACCTCCTTGCTCTCACCCTCCCCCCCCCCAGAAATGAGGGGAGGCCTAGGTGGCCCAGCAGTGAGACGTTTATAGGCTTTAACTTTTAACAACACCCATAGTCACGGGGTAGACTGAAGTAAGGTGTTTAGTAAAATTTGTGTCATTTAATCTTCAATTTAGTTTCAGTAATGTTTATAGCATAGAAATATCTCTTATATCTATGGTTTATAGCAATGGTTAGAATACTTTCTTCTTTAAATCTACGTCAACATTTTCCAGGTTCAATTAATATGATTTTGTTTTAGTGTTACGTTGTCTATATATCGCTGTGTCTTTTTTATCTGTATGTCTATAATAGACTTTTTCTCAGATACTACTTCACGTAGGTAGATGTTGGAATTCGGCGGCGATATTTGAAATAATACTTCCAATAATTATGGGATGACTTCACTAACCTCTATATATACAAGTGTATATATAGAGGTCAGTGGATGACGTGAATTCAGCAGGATCGCGGGTATATAAATATAAATTTTAAATCAGAAAATCGTCGGGCAAGCTCTACATTCAGAATTAAAAAAAAAACAACAACAAATTTTACAGTAACCATGTATTATTCATAGAGACTGATTTTGTTTCTTAACCGTTAACATTGAAAGGGAATTTGAAAAACGGCGATTTAAACGACTTATGGTATTCAAAATCGTATTTGATATTGAATAAGGTCATTTTTACGGTTACGAGGCTTTGGAATAACTTAAATTTGATCTGAAACATTGACATCATACACAATTCATGGTTTTAAAAGCAAACTGATGTTTATGTAGGTATTTAAAACGAGAAAAATATAGCCACATTCATGACTATGTTATTGCGTTTAAGTAGATTACATAACTGTATAAAAAACTGATACTACAAGATAAAAATACGTAATGAGACCGCAAACATGCCTGTCTAGCGACTTATGATTTTTTTTAAATAAATAGAATCATCGATAACTTATAGGAATGATGTCTTAAGGCAGTCTTGTATTTGTACTGTACGGTGTGGTTGTATTTATGTATGATGTAGTAAATATGAAAACGTTACCGCACGTCCTGCAATTGTTGAGTGAAAAGCACTAAAGCGCGTAAATTTCAGAAGAAACAATATTCAACGTCCTATTTCGAAGATGTTTGGGCGGGTACCACACAATACTATTACTTCGCGGATAATCTAAAGTATTATAATTGATCAGTAGAGCACAGTCCGGAGTGCACGCGAGTGCTTGAACTATTAGATTTCTTTTATCTTTATTAGATGCATTGATGACCTAAAATATATGTTCCATAAGGAAACCATGTAAAAGTTATAAATAATTTTACGTACCTTTTTCACAATTTTATTATGAAATCTCTGTAGGATACAGGTTTAAATAGAGATTTAGTGTCATGATTCACACATCACTTCTACGTATGTTCAATTATTATAAAATGACTTTTTGTGCAATAACTACATTTCAGTAGTACAAAGAGGTTCAAAAAAGTTGAAAATTACTGCACGGTCGCCTTAAATTTTAAGCGTACGCGAGAATCACGAATTCGATCCCTGCACCATCGCAATTGTTTATCGTAATTTAAGTTGTTGACTGAAATCAAAGTACTCCAGATAATTAATACATTTAGGCGTTCCTTTGCCGAACTCCATTATATTAAAGTTGTTAATAATTACCTCGTACACATCCGCACAATGAAATAAGTAATAAAATAAAATGATGTGTCTTATTTAGTTTGAAGAGCCCTCCCTCAATTTCGTGCACCAATCCCGTTACCAATCATCCCAGCACCACTACCACATGAGTAAAGAAACCGACCAACAACTACACTAGGACAAAAGACACATCATCGACGATAATACGATACGTGTTTCGCCTCTACACGAGGCATCCTCAGGTGATGTAAACTCCGCGGTGGCTGACCGCTGAGTCACTTCTACCGCTACCAACCGAACGCTAAGTCTCTTCCTAGTGAGATCTCTTCTTAAGTCTCTTCCTTTACGCAGGGCGGGAGGTGCTCTTCAAACTAAGTAAGACACATCGTTTTATTTTATTACTTATTTTATTGAGCGGATGTGTGCGAGGTAA